CAAATGAGGCATAGAAACTGAGACGTGCCATTGCAATAAGAAAAATAATAGTTTGACACACATTACCCTTTCATATTTCTTTCTTTCTTCTTTTTCGAAAAATTATAAAAGTTCATTCTTTTAAGACCATTTTATCCTTGTTAATGTGTTATACTATCATTACTCTTGTAATAAATTGTTTTGTCAATTTCAAGAGGTTCAACTATTGGTAAGGGACACACTCGAGTAGACCAAGATGTTGTTTAGTTCTAATTTGTGATAAAGAACCTTAAGAGAAAAGGGTCCTCTTTAATTTATTTTTAAATATTACCATTATAAACCTTAGCTAGAAAGGCCAACTACATGTGTTGGCATCCAAACTGGACAACAAAGCTCGAGCTTGCATAGATGTTTTCACGAGAGTGAATGAAAGAAAGAAAGAAAGGAGAGATTAAAGTTTTTGGGTTTTAGAAATTTAAGGATTTAGAAATGAATGAAGAACTAGAGACAGTGAACGACAAACTAAGCTAAGAGTGAGCGAAGGAGCGCGAGAGTGAAGGAAAGTCTGAGGGAGATTTGAGAGAGGGAGGATGCGCGAGAGTGAACGAAAGTCTAAGTCAAAGTGGATTCATCAAGACGGAGGGAGCGTGAGAGTGAAGGAAAGTTTGAGGGAGATGATTTTGAGAGAGGAAGGATGTGCACGAGTGGACGAGAATCTGAGTGCGAATGATTTCAGTAAAAGGGAGGGAGCGCGAGATGGAAAAGGAAGAATGTGCGAAAGTGAGAGTCTGAATCTAAGTGAGTTTAGCGAGATGGGGTTTCTCTTTTAACATTTTTTAAAATAAAATATTTCAAAATTTGTATATAAGATCAGTATTTTTTTTCACTTACACGGATATTAAATACAGATGTATCCTTAGCAAAATTATCTCTTTAATCCTGAACATTACATACATATATTATTTACGAAAAATTCATATGTAAATTTCTTCAATCTTACGTACGAAAAAAATTATATGAAACTCCATTTTCAAAATCCATATGTAATTTCATTTTTAAAATCACTATGTTAGAGGTCTTTTACTTACGGATCAGAATTCGTATGTAATAATTTGTACATAATTTGCTTTTTTTTAGTAAAATATTTATTATTATTGAGTTTGTGTTGTATGACTATATAATTCTAAAATTATGAATTCTAATTCTATGTTGTTGACTTTTAAAGGTGGATTTTAGGTAGGGTTAACTTTTAAAGACCAATTCTAGTTGATTCTTTAATTTTTTTAATTATAGTTATTTAACGGCAACCAAATCAATACTAATGTATTTCTGTTTTTAAAATCACGTAATTTGGCCTCTACTTAACTAGCGATGATAAAATTTATTTTTAATATTAGTTTTAATTTCTGTAAATTTGGTGGACGACACTAATTTTTAATATTAGTTTTAATTTGTGTATATTTGGTGGCCGACATTAATGACAATAATTTCAAAAATAATCTCTGAAATTATTTATATTCAATAAATACAAATAAAAAAATTATAATAAATGAAGAAAATAAGTGTAAATAAATGTATATGAAGGAGATAAATATATAGATGAAAGAAATAGATATTAATAAAGAAGATAAAAAGAAAAATCTGGATGAAAGCAATGAAGATAAAAATGAAAGTGAAGGAAATGAAGAGAATAATGTAGATGAAAGATTTGTGCGTGAATGAAGAAGATAAATATGAGTGAAGGAATTGAAAGGAGATTCATAAACGTAAATGAATGGATAATAAAATTTATATAGAAAGTGAGAGATAAATTTATTAATAATGAAATTTGTTTAAATATATACTATCATTAGATTGAAAATCATTTAGAATTTATACTCTCACTGATATAATTTAAATAATACAAATATTAAAAAAATATATGATAAACTAATGTTAGTTTTAATTATTTTAGTTAGTATTTGTTTTATGAACATTAATCTTATTTATTTTTAATATTTTCTAAATTAATATTCACTTAATTAATATTAATTTATTTATGTTTAATACTTATTTAATTTAATATTCTATTGAGTTATTTATTTTAATATTTATATTAATTAATATCGACTTTATTTATTTATTTTTAATATTCATTTGAATTATTTTTGTTAAACCAATACTAATATAAATATTCATTTATAAACAAAAATTAAAAATAATTTTACACTTTTTAACTTTCTTATTTGAAAAAAAGAATCTTTTATATGGTGTTAAGACTTACTAAGTTGACTTTAACGATGTTGTGATCAACACAAACTAAATTTATATTCTTTTTAGAGTGTGCTTCACTTTTTTTTAAAGAAAATTAAATAAATCACACACTAAAAAGGTTGGTCCAACGGCCTAGTATGTGGTTTGTGCTTACCATTTGGAGGAAATCCAAAAAACAATTGCAACAATTTGTAAAAATGTCATAATGGTGACTTCAACTCAAAATTTAATGTAATAATTTTCTTTTATCTTTTTATTTGTCATTTTTATTTAATGTTGGAGACTAACTCACTATGTTATTGTTGACTATTATTTTGAATTGTCTTGAGTTTAACATAATTTTTGGGATGAAATTTATTTAAATTTGAATTACAAAATTTTTTAAATTTTTTTATTTTAAAAAAATGTAATTAAGTGAACAAGGAAACCAACTCATTTAACTTGCTAATCCGTAGTAAATCGAGTCAAATTTAAATTTTTCTAATTCGCTAATAAATAAATCAGGTTAAACTAACTTATTAAGTGACCCACTTGTAGTCGATCGAGTCCGTGACTTTGATAAATTATAATCATCATTCTCTACTTTAAAAGAAAGTCTATTTTTTTTTATTGAAGTTTGATGGTAGTACATCTTAATTTGTCTCATTCATGTAGGTTGTAGCTTGTAGCAATTCAAATGTTTGCTATCGGTCTATTTCTTGAACATTGAATCACTAAAATTGCAGAATAACTTTTGATAATATATTAAAAATTTAAATAAATCATATAATTAAATTATATATATATGTAATTGAATAGTTTATATGAAATAATAAATATAATTTTAATCAGATAATGCATCTGAAATAATCTATTTTTTTTTATCAGCAACTGAAAGTAATCTAATGATCTTAATTTCAATTATATTTTATTACTGTAATTAATATTTTTCATGTTCAATTTGAATCAATTATGGCTAATGGTAAAGACAGAAAAAGGAAAACCTAAAAGTGTAAAAATCTAAAAATAATATTTTGTTTTGCAAAACCTACAACCAAAGCCACATTTGCAGACTAAAATACATTCACTTTTAATTATTAACAAAGACAAACATCCTTTTATTTATTAAACCCATGCTTAAATCGATTTATTTTTTTTAATTTCTTATATACTTTTATTATTCTTAATTTAAAGGCTATACTCATTTATTTAAATAGTAAAACAAAAGTAAAAAAATATATTAAACTACCTAATTATTCAATGAAAAAAGTATTAAGCTAAAGTTACTGAAAATCAGGTAGGACATAAATAATGTTTATCTATTATTTGACATAAAAATACATTCAATTTGATATTCATGTTATTACTCATCCGATACTAATTTAAAAACTAGATACAATTTTTTTAAAACTTGTGGATATTCGAGACATCATATCTACTTATTTTCATGGATATCCACACTCATGGATATTTAATATCCATAGATATATTAAGACAAAATATTTGATAATTTTTAAAATAAAATTAAAAAATAAAATAAAATATAAATTAAATTTTAATTTTAATTAAATTTAACTCATACTATCTAAACAAAGTTTTAATTTTAATTAAATTTAATTTCGTAAAATATAAATAAAATTTTAAATTTTGTTTTTATGAGTAATAAATATTTTAAAGTACGAATAATATAATATTCAACCGTAGGTATTAAATTACATGTTATGATTTGAGTATAAAATAGCTACTGCAAATAATTTGTGTATAAATATTAACTATTTAATATTGGTTGTATAAATATTTTTATCATCTCGTGAATTTTAATTTTTCAATTAATTTTAATATTTTCTTACAACTTTTACATCTACATAAAGTTTCATAAAAAAGGACACGCATTAACTACTGTTTTATTTTTTTAAAAACAGATAGATGTACAACCAAAATTAATAAATACAAATACTATCAATAATTCATAATTAAACGCTGATTATTTCATGTCAACTGTAATTAAGTGGAATAATGAGAAACTATTACTTAACTAAACAAGACATATTTTCCCAACCAGTCTCCTATGACACGTAATATTATTAACATATTTTCAACAATTTAAAATTCTTGAATATATCTTACATAAAAATTGTTCTAGAATGTTTTCAATTATATTTTTCAAATGATAGCTTCTCTAGAATTTTTTTAAACCACGTATATTTTCTAATCTGTCATTTATAATTCAGAAAAGAGTTTAAAAAATAATAATTAAGATAACAATAGATTATTCATCATATATTTAAATTACAATCTATACATTAAAAATATTTACTTATACTAATTTATATACTAAATATATATATATTTTCTCTCATTCCAATTTTCGAAAGCCCTAACAAGAGCCGTACATCTGAATTGAGAAAATAGGCGAGTGGAGGCAAGTAACAAAGTCAAGTCGTCGATGAAGAAAAACCATTTGTGGTGAAGCTTAAGGAACTGCTTTCAGTGTAAAAGTGCAACTTCTCGCGATTTTTTTCTCTCAATCTTCGTCTTCAAGGTAACTCTCACCAAATTGCACGGAACGAACCAGAACAAGTACTTTTTAATTTTTAATTATCTTCTATTTTTTTTCCATTTTTTTACCTTATTATTCCGTTCTCGTTTTCTCAGCATCCACGCCGTTGGTGAAATGTTGGGGAATAAGGATTAGGGTTACGTCTTCTTCGCGCAGTTGAATCTAATTGAATATTATTTATCGAATCATTGCTCAAAACATAGTTGACGATGGTTGAGCGAAAGCAGTTCAAGACGAAGTTATGTGTTCTGTATCAGAGAGGTCGCTGCAATCGCCATAATTGCTCCTTTGCGCATGGGAGTGCCGAGCTTCGACGATTCCCTGGCTCGTTTAGTGGTATAGTTTTCTAGTTTGCGTTGCTCATACATAGTGCAATTGTTTTATTATTATGTTATTGTAATTATTGATTAGTTGAGTCTATATATTGTGAATTGAGGTAAGTTGGACTGTAGATTATGTGTGTTGATGTTAGTTGAGGGATGTTTGATGAGTATTGCGACATTTCCTGCATGGGGTTTCGAGTAACAGCTCGTCAGAGTCTGATGGGGAGTGTGATTTTGGAGAGAAATGAATGGAGGAATTTTTTTTAATTATTGGATTTAGAGAATTATATTTTGTACAAATAAACAAAATATTAGGAGTTCGTGCACTAAACTATCATATTATTTCTTTCACTGTTAAAAGACTTATGAAATTAAAAATATTTATAAACAATGAAAGTTTTTGTTCCCTTTCCTCTGCAATTTAACTTCGAAACACACCCTTAGACAAGTTCATGCCTGGTTATGTGTGGTAAGAAGAATTATGATTGAAGGAGGAAGTTTGTTTGTGTTTGAAGGTGTTGAGATCTTTTATTTGAGTATAACTTTATGGACAAGGAAACTGCATAGAAAAGAAATAAGTGATGGACAAATCAGTGCATTTTAGTTAATTGTTTGATATCATGGAGCCTTTTAAATTTAAAGGCTTTTGGTCGCAGTATATGTGCTTGGAACTTGAAAAATAAGTAAGTCTTAATGACAGGGTGGATGATAATGCAATACAGAAATTTAGAGCATGTTATTGGTGTTTTTTGTAATTATTATGTCCTTCATATTATAATCAGTTTCGTCATCGTTGGTCATCATTTTTTTGATACGTTAATGAAGTTAATAGTACTTAATCCATTTATAAATAATCTCTTTTCCACTGTTTAATTAACCTATCCTGCCAAAGTGGTAATACTAAGTGTTCATATGTCATCTATCAATTTTATTCCATCCACAGCCAAGACCTCCTTCCACTTGTGTGGCTCTTTCCACCACGATTTCTGCTTGCTAATGTAAGCCTCTGTATAACAATATCTGTAACTGCAAATTCACACCCAATACATCAAGGGGCTCAGAAATTCTTATTCTGTGGATAAAAATGGGGGAAAATATTGTAGATGCTTTTTGATATCAGTCCACCGTTGTTTTCTTGTAGGATTTTATTCTTGTTTATTTTTAGGAGTAGAGATTACTGTAGAATAATTTTTATTAGCATTGGAAAGTTGGAGTGAGATGCATAGGAGTGATAATTACCTGTCTTTGGCTTTTTTGGCTGCTCTTTATCGCAGTAATAATCCTTTTTGTTTCACTTTTTGTTTCACTTTTTGTAGCATTATGAGGTAACACGTTCTTTTATCCTTTGGATGTTGCCTTTTCCCTCTAAATTAAATCATTTAAAGAATAGTTTAATTAGTTTAATATGCATCACCACTGTAATTCAGTAATTAGTTTGCACTTCAATTATTCACTGGAATTTGAAGTATATCTGCTGTATTTGTTGAATGTCAGCAACTTTCTAGTCTTGTTTTCCCTCCTTGGAATTTTCCTCTGATAGCCCCACCCTTGAGTGTAAGGCAGTGAATCAGAACATAGCATTTGATATTTATTTGCTAGATAATTTCATGTCCATCAAAGCTGTCTTCCTTCTTTTTTGTTATAATTTATTGTCTATATCTCATTTCATGTAATTTTATATCTTTACCCTTGAACCTGTTTTGAATATTTTCTTCACATGCCTCTATTAGCTAATTTCTTTTCTAAATTGCTGTTTTCAAAACAATGTTGTAGAATGAGAATTTGACACAAATTGGCAGAGTTCACTGTGTTTCTTCTTCCAGTTATAGGTGACTTGTAGATGTGTCCTTGGATTATTTGTAGTCCACACTAATCTTATGTCTTTCTTTGTTTTATATATTAGGGTCCTGCTAACCATTGTCCGGGCACTGGTTAATAATAACTAATAAACATTGAATTTTACAAAAGTTCATAGTTAAATATGATATTAAATGAATTCTGATCTCAATAATCATTAATGCAGTTTTACTTTATTTAGAATACAAAAATATCCATAAGTGTTATACAACTGTAATTGATAATTTATTTGATGCACACAAAAAAAGTTAAAACATAATCAAATAATTAAATAATTTTCTCTTTCTTTTTAACTGTTTGTCTTTCATTTTAATGTTCCAAAAATTAAAATATGATTAAACGTAAAAAAAAGTTTAAATTAATAGAGAAAGCAACAAACGAAAATAAAAAAAGTAAGCAACCCAATATATATGAATTTGAGACTTCATTGAGTTTCTTTTCTTTGACTTCTTGAGAACCTTTTTGCAACATTCCTGTTAACTTAACAAAATCCTCTCTATTAAAGAAACAAACAATATTTGGTGTGCATCAAATAAATTATCAATTACAGCTGTGTAACACTTATGGATATTTTTTTCCTCTAAATAAAGTAAAACTGTATTAATGATTATTAAAGTTAAATTCATTTAATGCCATAGTTAACTATGAATTTTTGTAAAATTCAATGTTTATTAATGATTCGTGCCCTTAGTGCTCGGTTTAGCATTCCCCTATATATAATTATTATCCATGTGAGGTGGTGCTGTTTATATTGGAGTCTGAAGTTCGTCCTATAATTGTGCTAACATGGTGAAATTGCATGGAAAATTTGATTAATTACAATAAACCAGTGAAAAAATATACTGAAAGAGAAATATGTGAGAAAATAAATTTGTAAATTATATAGGGATGAGTTGCCCGTGCCACTATCACAACATATCCTGAAAACTATACTTTTACACCCCCAGCTTGTTTTATTGACACTCTGTTATTCCATTTGTTCAGCTGAATGTCGTAATCTTCAAAATAGTCACTTATCTAATAGGACTGGTCCATATGTCCATTGATTCTATGTAAGCAGATACAGAAGATTAGATATGCAATAACAAATGGCATATGGGATTAATGTCAGATTAATTTATTCAATGGTAGGACGATCACATTATCTTGTTGAGACTATTGCATTTCCAGCAGTATGGATATTTCATTTAGATGAGAGATCTTCAGAAGGCATTCTACTGATTGGTTTATCTTAAAGGCGATGCTGGTGTTGTTCATGAAATTGTAATTCCTTGGCAATGTTTTTTATGCTTCATTCCTTGAATCTATGGAACTACAGTGTTACCTCAGATCTTTCTTAGGCTTGCATGGATTGCCTGCTAATATCATGTTTCGATCAGAAGCAAGTTCAGCAAATTTCCAATCATTTCATTATAAATTCTACTGCCTGAGTGTATGGAGCTTATGCTATTCCTTTTGGCTGATACTTCTTGAAATATTATGGCTACATGGACACTGACAAAAGGGAATTATTAGTGGAGATGATGTCTGGAGAAATCGCGTCAGATATCTTGTTGATGGATTTTTATTTCTTAAGCATCTTGGATATATCCCTACCTTTGAGATTATATTTTATATCTTACTTCTCTCATCAAGTTGGGGATGTGAAATGTTCTTTATCCATTGCTACCTTGATTTCACTTCAAGGTATATGCTACATGCGTGGGTTTACTATATCTGTCATAATATGAGGGTGCTAGTTTCTATCCACTTTATGCTCTTACGTGGGAGGCACTATTACTATACATTATTATGTTTCTCTTGTTATTCCTGTTAATGGTAAGCTTGGTTTCATTTTCATATTTATTGCGTTCTGTTTGTATCTTCTGGAATGTTTTCTGTTTTTTTGTTAGTTTGCAATAATGGAGGTTTGTTTTTTTATTTCAGGTAGGAGAGACTATTTAGGCAATGACTTGAGGGATAAACTTGAAAGAAGGCATTTATCTCCTCGAAGGTACTCACCAGCTCAAGATGCAAGAGGCCGCCAGAGCATCCGTGGTCAGACACAACTTTATAGTTCTTCTTGCTCCTTAATTTTAGTGTCATTTCTTAATTGGTTGTACCTTAGAGGTTCATCTTTTCTGTCAACTAAATATTTATTTTTATTTCCTCCCTGGCAATTTTATGCTTTATGTTCTTAGGCTGATGTCTTCATTCTTCAAAGATTGAATGGTAGGTAAAATTTAAAGAAACTAGGAATTAAGACTAAAGAGTTTTCCTGTTATTGATTTTCTGAATCTCTCAATAGAGTTTGGGTGTTTATAGTATAGAGATTACAAGCATTTAGGGTAACAGCAAGTAACAGAATTGGCAGTTATGATAACAGAAATTACAGCTGGCATAACAAACTGCTGCTGGCATAACTAACCACTGCTGGTTGAGGCTAATCTATTTCTTACAACAGAAACTCAAAAGCACAATCACATATACGCTATTAGTGTCTGATGTTATCATTTTCCAGATTTTCATAGATCTTCAACCGTGAGATTTGCATTGAAAATCATTCTCTTTTTGTATTTCCAATTTTCTACAAGCTATGAAAACTGTTCATTACTTCACTATGAATTGAACATCTGTTTAACTGGACATAAATATGAGTATGCATTTTGTATTGTAAATGTTATTTTATTTCTTCATGCTCAAGATCATACCTTTTTATGTTGGTTGATACACATGCACCAAAGAGAAATGTGCACATGCTTCTTTACCCAATGATCTTGTGTCTGTTCTCTTCCTAATGTTCCATGTATTAAATTTTGCAGAATACAGTCCTCCAAGGTCTTTGGAGAACAAAAGGTAAATTAACCATGAATCATTATGGATACTTTCGTATACATATTTTAATATTTTGTGGGAACTAATGGTCTATTACTGTTCTTCTTCCATGTATATATGTTAAAATTAAAATACGCTATATTTAAGGGATAGAAATGTGAGAATTGTAATTTCATTTATAGAGAAAGAATTATCATTGATTGGAAGGCAACCTTTAAAAGGGTAGGGGAATGGAGAAAGGTGCGGGTGACTTGATGCCTCTTGAATAATAGATAAGAGATTACCCAGTTCAAGGAAACATGCATAGCATATGTGTTAGAAAAGTAGCCCCTGTATCTCAAGCCAAGAGGGGGGTGAATTGGATTTCAAAAGCTTTTTAAATCTTTAAAGAATCTTGAAATCACTAATCATAGGTGTTTGAATCAATCAAGATGAAAGAAAGACTAAAACACACAAAGATTTATACTGGTTCAGCTCTTCACAAGCCTACATTCAATCTTTCTCAACAACCTTAGTTGGAGGGTAATCTAGTCTTTTCTCAACAACCTTAATTGGAGGGTAATCTACTAATTCAAGATTTGAGTTTAAGAAAACAATGATACCCTCAATTGCTATTCTCACCATACTTAAATCTGAATACAACAAATACAAGAGAGGATTCACTCACTCTCAATCAACACGAGATGATACACTCAATCTCTAACTTGGCCTACCCAGCACATGTATCAAATCACACCAAATGAATAAGAACCTGATTTGATTACACTCCAATAGTGCAAAAATATTAGAACAAATGAGCTCCAATGAGTCTTGTTGGATTTCTTGATTCTTTGATCACCAATATAGCTTCAAAACCTCCAAGAACTCTTCTTGAGAAAACCTGTACACAAAACTCGGAGAGAATGTCAGTATTTGCCAATTAAAATGTTAAAGAGTTAGGTCTCTAATCTAATTTGTATAGAAAATTAGATCCTATCGCACTTTAATCGATTAGATTAATATCATAATCAATTATGCTTTTGCTTCTGTTTTAATCGATTATGTCACTTATATTGACAGTTATGCTTAATACTACTTCTTTCAACTAACCTAACAGATTAGGTTACAAGCATAATGGATTAGACCTTTGTTTTTGTTTTAATCGATTATACCACTTATGTAATCGATTAAAATGACACTATGCTTTGTTTCACTTCCATTTGCCTTTTCTAACAGATTAGATTATCTTTATAACAGATTATGCCTATCTCTCTGTTTTAATCGATTATGCAACTTATGTAATCGATTATAATAGACAGTTTTGTCCTGTTTTTGCTTTGTATATGTTATGGTTTCTTTTAATGAATTAGATTACTTATGTAATCGATTAATACTACCAGAAATATAGATTCTTGATATGTTTAGGCCTATTTCAATCACCCTCTCATGATTGATGCATCTAACACAAACATAGTTAATGATTTAAACATTTGTTTACCAATTATGTTGTGCAAGAATGATTTGAACATTTTCTATTCATTATTAACCATTCATCATCAAAAACCAATATGTGTGGAGTCTAATGCTCCTCCTATCAACAATATGTATTTTCTGTGCCATGAAATTTACTACTATGTATTTATTTGAGATCTGATGAATATGAAATTTCCATTCTTTTGTTGGAATGGAAACTTTTGTAGTAGTCACATGCTGTGTGCATGACAGCCTAATTGTTCAAAGGTGTTTTTGGAATTAGAGTTATAGGGTTTCCCAAGTTTGACATTTGATATTTGAGAGCTTGTTGAGAGAATTTCATATTTTGACTGGAATATGCCTTTCTTGGAGCATATGTTATTTCATTTTTTCTTGGAGCATATGCCTTTATTCATATTTTTAGTCTAAAATAAATATCATTAATTGCTGTTGCAGTGACAGAAGACATAGGAGAAAACAGGGTATTACTGGTCAAAGTGATACTTCTGGAAATTTGAAAGCCTCAGATAGAGTTCAAGATCAAGCTAAAGAAAGAAAAATGCTTTCCTCTGGTTCTAGGAATACACTTGAGGAGCAGGTTTGGAAACTCTCTTTAATCTTTCTGTAGCAAAAAATATGTGGAAGATTCCCTAGTTTGTTATGGAAAATTGCATGTGTTTTTATATTTTTGTAACTTTTGCAGCTGAAGAAAGTAGATTCAGGTATCAGTGCTCTACAGAACCGAAAATTCCAGCTAGAGGTTAGTTTTATCTCTTATAGTTGCATTTTGTCACATCATCCTCGTGGTTCTCTTGGTTATCTAATGTTTTAACACCTAGATTTTTAACAAGTGTTCTTGAACTTCCAAATCATTCACGTTTGGGGTTCTACTGAAACTTATTCCTTGATTTGGTTGCATAATGATGCTTCCTCTCTTTTTAAGGAATTGATTGGGTTTAAGTTATTAATATGTTGAGTTGTTTACTCTACTATCACAAGCCATTGCAGCTTGTTATTTCTTGTCCTATCATTTGTTAACTAATGATTTTAAGAGTGGCTTTTGATATATCTTCTATCAATCACTCTGTTTAGTATGTTATTAAACATTTACTTTTGTTTTTCTCTTGATTCCTGTAGTGTAAATTTATGTACAGACTGTGAATAGGTTTTGAAATGATTATTGAAACAAGTCTTCTAAGTATTGTAGCAGTTGTCCTGCTTCTATCTGCAGAACTATACAATATATATATAAAATATGATTTGTCTGACAAATTTTTGTTTTTAGGTTTGATTGTGGTACTGATATTGAAATGTTGTTTCATATGATGTCCTGGGAATACTGATGAAGTCAACCTTCCAGTTAGCTTGCCTAAATTTAATTTGAAAAAAAAAAGTTTCTTGAGCTAATGCTAATTATCCTGTTGGAGTTGCAGTTGAATTTAAACCAAGCCTTTTTATTTGTTAACTGTTATGTACAAATTCTTATTTTTGAAGGTCTACCTTGATGAGAGTATTCAAGAAGTGGATAGCCTTAATTCTAGAATTCAGGAGCTTGAAGCTCAATTATGCGAAGAGGATGAGGAGTGCAAAAGGTACTGGAATGTTTCAATATCCTTATGTTGATAGTTTTTGTTAACTGTTACACCTCTCCGTTAATTTGGCATTTATTGATAACATTATGTTTCCTTTCCTGGCATTTCTCTGTTCTCTCTGAAACCTCAGAATTACTTCAAGAATAAGGAAGTTTGTTAGAGTTCACAATCATATGTCACAGTTACAAGATGAACTGAAGAGGCAAGTTTCGTTTTTACAATTTACTTTGCTTTGTAGACTTCTAGTACGCATCAATGTCTTTTAATGTTTCATTTTCTTTGTGTCTTTGTCTAACTGCATACCATTGTATTCATGTTTGTTTCACCATTTTATTCATAGATCTCAAGTCCGACTTCAACGGTTTGGAGATCAGCTTGTCTCGGATATTTCTAAAATTGGTGCCAATGAAGAAGATTTAAGCATTGATATTGTCAGCAATGGTGAAAATACTGGTCTTCTTCCAATTGTCAAACATAATGTGGAGCATAATGATGCATCATCCCACAGAAAAAGGCTGCATATTGAACGAGATGCTTTGGAAGATTTAAAACAAGGTAGTAGTAGTAGTAGTTATGGAAAATGTAGTGATTTGGTTTTGTTTAACTCTTCCTGAATTCCAGAAATACTATATTTGCTAAACGAAACACTAGGAGGTTAAAAATAAAAACTGCAAGCTGCGAATGACATTCTTATAATTCATTTGGAGGAAAGGGACATCTGCTGTCAATACTTGTGTTTTCATTGTTGTGTTTTGCTCTGCATTCCGCCAGTCATTTTCATTATTTTTTATTTTAATCTGTTCACGAGTTGGTTATTGTATTAGCGTTTTGTTATTTATGCTACTTTCTTGTAATGGACATGCAGATAGATTAAAAGAGGGCCATTCGGTTGAGACAGGTAGAACTAAGAAGCGATCTCGGTGGAATACATCAGATCAATTGAATGATGAGTCTCTCAGGGTCCCAGAAAATGGAACTGAAGTTATTAGAGCTCTAGATCCTGAAGGCAGGCACAAGAGAGGAGTAAGGAATTCTTCTAACAGCCTTTTTTCATATAACAAACATTCAATTAATTACGTGTCCTCATAGTCATAGGAATTAGAACGATCTAGGTAACATGGATAATAAGCTGGTATATTGAGCTTGGATATGGAAATAACAAAGTGTGGAATGCTCATCTTTGTTTAGCCTCAACGCGTAAATTGGTTCGAATAGGTGTTATGCCAGTATCATGGGTAGGCATATGTCCAAGTTATCTGTTATGGGGTCAACCGACATAGTACTATGACATTATACTTAATCATTTTGGCATTTAGTGGATATAATGTTACTGTAGGTAGTTATGACTTATTAAGGGAGCACGTGGAGAGAGAGTGTTCTTATCAAGCAGGGACGTGCCAAAAAAGTGAGGCAAAAGATGGGAGACACCCGAGCACGGGCTTTTTTTCGAGTCGTCATATCTTTCTTAAATAGCAATCGAGGGAATAAAGATCATAACGAATATTGAATGCACTGGCTAGGATTTCTGAGATCATTCCTGAAGCTGTAACTGGAACAAATTCCATTTTTGTTCTGCCTCTACGTTCACACTTAAAAAAGTACAGGTTGTTTTAGTGTGTTACATTCTTCATGGTTTTGTCCTCTGTGGTCCCTTGTTTTGTTCCATTCATACATCAAACAGCTTATCAAGCATTTTGAAAAATATTTTTGAAGTTGATTATTTTCATCGAAAATGATCTTTCCTATTTTTCTCTAAGAATATGCAGTTGAAGCAACCTAGGATTGAAGTGCCATCAACTAGCATGGCAGCTCATGTGGCTGATGAGGACGTTGATATTGAACTTTACAACGGAAATGATATCAATGAAACTGCAAATACAGAAAATGAGAATGGAGTGGCATACAAGGTGAAGGCTGCACCGCTTATGCTTCCCCCAGCTTTGATACCTCGTAGCAATTATTCACAGGTTAGTTCTTCTTGGGTGCCAATTTTACATCCTTAAAGCACTTCTAAGAAACATTTGTAAAAGTACTCCGATTTCATGTGCAGTACGAGGGTAACGACGAGAATGTTGATGTGGATGGCTGATGAATATAGGCAGCAGGGTCACGTGTGGTTTAGTCTAATCAGTATTGGCAGTTTCTAACTTTTGGTGGCTCGAACAGTAGAATTTGAAAATAGTGGATAGGATGCAATATTGGAAACAAGAAACGAAAGATTTGTGGATCTACTTGATTATCTATTTTCTGTTGGACTTCTTGATGTGGTTATAAATGTAATTCTTTGTTATCTATGATATTTTTTGGTTTTCCAGATCTAATCATTGAATTTAAAGTACCGTATCTATCACATGCAAGTTCTGCATCTTTTTGGTTCTCCATATCCAAGACTATTGGGAAGTTTCTCCATTAGGGAGTAGCTCCCTCCAACACCACGCATCACTTCCTCCACCTCTCCATTTCCTTTTTGCCCTTAATAATATTTAATTTGTTTTTATTTTTTTACCCAACAACCATCCACTTTCGTTAATGTCCCTGTATCAATACACCTCTCCAACATTCCACTAATTGTGTTGAATGAAATTCTTTTGAATCTTTTTCTTCCTCTAATTTTTGTTTGTTGAAAATGTGGTGGTGTAGCGTGAGATATTGTGGTGTGTTTGGTTGGAGATAACATTGATTGAAGAAGGTTCTCCGGTAACTAGAGGAAGTAGCAAAAAAGCTTTGGAGTGGTGCAAGCAAAAAAAGGTGCAAGAAGGTTCTTGTAGTTGAAGGTGAGGTTTTTTGAATATATAAACCTATCACTCTAAACAAATGTGAGTATTCGTTGGAGAAGGATATAGGTATTTGCTGTAGTCTTAAACGGATGTCAATATCTGTAGACGGATATCAACATCTGTTTAAGGTCAAACACACAGCTACCAAACATAGAAAACACACAGGCAGCGACCAAACATCCAACACACAACATATTCTAATACATTAAAATTAAAATGAAATGTCTATCATGACCAATCTCTCTTGTGGATCAAAGAAAAAATGTGAGTAGACGCAAACAAGAAGCACCACCATCGCACCAACACTATAGCATCACTACACAACCAGGAGATCGAAACGGAAAAGAAAGAACAAATGAAATGGAAATTACTATGGGAAAAACGGAACTTGAGGAGAAAAGGAATTTGGAAGAATCGGATCTAGGGAGGAGAAAAGTTTGAAAGTGAGAATTTGTGGAGGAGGGTGTAGGGGATGGGAGGTGGGGATTGCGCACTGTGAGTGAAAATGAAGTTGGGATTAGAGTTTTGATACAAAGGTAAAAAAAGTAAAAAATTAAAGTAAAATGGATAGTTTTGTAATTAAATTTTTTTTTTGGGAGAGATGCAAGAGCTCTTGGGTGGTGGAGGGAACAACTCACTCTCCACTAACTTCATTGACTACGAACTAGTTCTTTCTTGACATGATTTGTAATTCAGGTGATTCCAATATTTGTTTAATTATTATTATTATTGTTATTTTTTTTGTGCAAAAAATATTTAGGCATAGGGTTGATGGTACCCTTGCCCAACTAGACTTCCAAAGTAGATGGGTGGGGATTTTGGGAAATACGCTTATTTTCATATAATATATAAGGCTAAATATAATTTTAGGATAATTATATAGAATGGATGCGTAAAATAATTTATTTATTTTTATGGTAAATTTACAAGAAAAGGTCAAGTTATTTGTAGTTTCGATATCGAAATTAATGATCTTTAAATTGTTACACTTTTAAGATTTCATATTTTTTTGTATTTCTCTTATTTCTTATCTTTACCATTTTCTTATATAGATAGTAGTAATGATAGATAATAAGTTTATTTTATTTTATTTTATTTTATTATTAGTTTTGGATATTATATTATTGTTTATTTTAATTATTATACTATTTAATTATTTTTTATTATACTTTAATTTATTGATAGAAGATAGTTTATATATAAATTTTTTTGGTTAACCACGGTATCAATTAACATAATCACATGGTGATACCGATTTAAAAATAGGTTATTCTATTTTTTTAAATTTTATAAAAAATGTTTTAATATATAATATATTTGTATCAATAATATATAACTTATTTTTTTTTGAAATACCATATAAGTAAATTTATTTCGACATTTTGTATTTTATCATTTATTTTAACATTTAATTTTACTAAACTAGTCTAAAAGTCCTAAGCTTATAACTAGACTTTCAACTGTTTTCTACTTTTATTTTAGCTTAAATTCTTTTATGTAATTAATATTTTATCTTGGGTATTGCGTAAATAATTTATTTTTATTTTAATATGATTAGTTATGTTTTAAATATATCAAATTATTATTATTATTTTATAATAATTATTATGACAATATTATTAATTTTACTATTGTTATATCATACTCACTTTTTTTTACCATGTTTATGGTCATTATTTTCATCATCCTCATTTTTACTATTATAATTATAATGTACATAGTTTTTTATTATCATTATTTTTAGTATCTCGTTTATTATTATTCGTCGTTACCATTTAACTAAAAGGTGAACATTGTAAATTAGAAAAAAAGGCGTTTTAAATAGAGAAATGAAAACCTTGATTCTTTAACGGAAAGCAGGTTGTAACCATTTTGGACCGGACCATGATGAGTTTGATGTAAAACATTTAGTCGATTTTTTTTTTTCCTTTTGATATAAAATTATTTTCATCAGATAGAAAAAAAGTGATCCGTATAATTTATTTAGGCCTAAATATAAGAATTTATTTTCTATATATATTATATCTTAAGAGATGTACAAATATTTGAAGAAAAAAAATCTCGAATTTAACTTATTTCTATTTTTATTCTCAAGAAATTAAAATGAAATTTGTTGTAACCTAATCAAATATTATATGTTTTAAAATATCATTTGCATAATTATTCCATATTTCTTAATTAGATATTTTTTATAACAAAAAATAATTAAAAATAGTAAATACAATTACTAATAACAATTACTTTTATTATCTTTCTTTTAATTTAAAATTTTCACCTTTCATTTTATTTTTCAGTCATTTACATAACTTGTATATACATTTAGTATATAGTATAAATGATCCGAAATTGAATTTTATACTTAATCAACATTATTTAAAGAATATATTAAAACTCGATTCATCTTGAGATTATTTAGTAAATTAAATAATAAAATTGTGGAAACGAGAAAACTTTAAATCAAAGTATATGATGTTTCATGTAAAAATTTAAATTTAAAATACATAATAAGTGTAACTTTCGGCATAAGGAACAATTAAAGACAGTCTCATGAGTCACGACGACAAAATCTGATCTTCTCACACTTACAGGTACGTAGGTTTACGCCTTTAATAAATTTGGAATCAATTGATAACTTTTTTATATCCAAATCTTGATTATAAAGCTGTTTATATTATAGAGAGAAAATGTCTCCAAATTTTAAGTTAATATTTATTTTGCGTACACAATTTTTTACACTGAAAAATATTTGTTTAAAAAAGTATCAAACTTTTTTTAATTTAAATTAATTTTCATCGGAGTAAAATAGTAAAATTTGTTAATTAAACTAAAATGAGTAATTAAATTGTTCTTGGAATAATTTGCGGGGAGAAAGGGGCCCACACTGTTAACGCACGCATTATTCTAATTTCTGACCCTCTACACACAAACCGCAATCACGTTTCAACAGCTTATGACTCACTTCGTCACTCCTCAGCTTGTCCGAGTCACGCCTTTCATTCATCTCTCCAAACATCTCCTCGCAACATCAATTTCTTGTTCCCAAACCCTCTCTCTCCCCAAATTCTCTACCAAAACCTCCGCCCTCGCCCGCTGCCGAACGCACTCTCCATTTCGCCCGGCGATGGATGCGAAACCGCCGGAATCCGCCGCCTCGGGCGAGGACTTCGTCCACGTCCCGGATCTGAAGATGGAGAGTTTGTCTGAGAGCATTGTTCGAATTGACGAGCCCTCCGACGCCGACGCTGCTCCCTCAACGTCGGATGACGCGCCGGATTCCGATCACCGTCAGGTCACTCTCCCGGAGGAGCTATCCAGAAACGTTTTAGTCCTCTCGTGCGAGTCTGCTGCCGAAGGCGGCGTCTGCGACGTTTACTTGGTCGGAACCGCTCATGTCTCTGAGGTATTGTATTGGTTCTGGTAGTTCAGAATCAGGTTTCAGGATTCGTTATGCTGTACATTGTCACTATGTTCAACGAGAACGAATTATTAGGGATTGTTTTAATTTATTTTATTCTGTATTTTGTTTCAATCGGAACTGTTAGTCTCATTTTTTACTTTATCGTATCAATTTTAGTTGTTGTAATAAGAAGTACAGTTGTTGAATTGCTGAGAGTTTAAAATTTATGCTGAATTTTGTGCAGGAATCAAGCAGAGAAGTTCAAGCTATAGTGAATTTTCTTAAACCGCAGGTTTTGTTTCCCTTTTGAACTTACTAATACTTGGCTGGTGGATTGATCCTTCAGTTGCTTGCTCTTGGTCTAATGAAATGATGCCCCTTGAATTTTTGGATTTTTAGTGATGTAAACCTGTGGCCGGTCTTTGTTTTGTTACAGGCCGTCTTCCTAGAGTTGTGCTCCAGTCGTGTTGCTGTGCTTACCCTTCAAAATCTCAAGGTTTCTATCCTTTTAAATTGTTGTTTTGTACATTTCCTTTGTACTTTAGTCCGTTAATTGTTGGAAGGTGGCTTAATTCTTGTCACGCCTAGCCTCCCACTTTGACCACTTTTGGGAGTTTTCGTAATTTTAACATGGAAGGTTTTATGGTTTAATCCCACATGGTAGTGTTGAGTGAGACCCTAAGTCCAATTTGTAAGAGTATCAGGCTATCCCTCTTACCACTCTAACTGGTAACTTATGTGCGTAGGTTGCAAGTGTGATGTATTTGAGTGTTCCAATTTGTTGGGTGTGGCGGCATTCTTTAGTTTGATATTAGATGAGTGGATTGCTCGAAAGATAAAGTATCAAATGGCTGTGTAATTGTATGGCTTACTTGGTGTTTCACTGAAGGACATAACACACATAGAAACTCATTTTACCTTGATGATTTAAACCTTTTAGCTGTCAACTTTCGAATAGTTTAGTTTTTCCTTTTTCTTAAAGTAGAAAACAATTAAAGCAATAAAATGATAATTGTAATTATTGTTCAATTTTCCACATGCCTTATTCAAACCTACTGTCAACTAATTTCATTGATTCTATCATATTAATCTGGTTCTCGTTCAGTTGTTTGCATGATTATTGAATTTGCTTCTTCCAGGTACCCAC